ATACTGGGCGAATGTGGGACATGTCAGAACATGTAGCGGATTTGGAAAAAACACAAAAAAACTCCTATCAAAAGCTTGATAAAGAATGTGTTTGTAAAGCTATTAGGTACTTAGCATCATCCTAGGTTTCAGGAAGACGCTATTGTGTAGGCTGCTACCAACCGGCAAATCTAGAAATAATTGGAGGAGGCCTATGTTCAGCGGTGAGCGTCCTGTGGCTGAAAAAATGACTATGATTGTCTAAGTCCTAAGTACTTTTGTGACTTAAAAAATCTTTTTATGACTCATTTCGTAAAACACGCTTATGCCACCCATTTTAAGGCACACATTTATCGCGATACTAAGAGACAATAGCGCCATTATAGTACGAGCCTGAGCAAGTTAACAATGAACCGAACGCTGATTAAGCGGTTCCAGCCGATCGTAAATTATTTTGTTCAGCCCTTAGGGTGTGGACTTAAGATGGAAGGCCAGGGTACACTCAACATTTGGACTTGAAATTTTTATTGAAAAATGACCCCTGTTACTACTGCTTAAGATGCACGGAGTGGGATGTCCACCCAGAAGGACCGACGACATCATAAAGGTAGTAAGTAGGATGGCGCTGGACGCAGGCCGCTACCAATCGATCAACATGGAATATGTTCAGCAGTGGACGTCCTATGTCTGAAATAATGAAGATGCACGGTGTTTCTTCATGTGCTGTCGTCTGTACAATAGCTTGTGTAGCTCAAACGATAATCAAAATCAAGGAATTAGCAGTAGAAAAGAGGGCGATTGATCAAAGAATTTAGACAAAGATGATGTTTCAATTTAAAGAAATAATTGCTTCAAATAGGACTGAACTTGCAACCTTTAGTTTGACGACCGACTGCTTTAATTACTGCATGGGCTATGGTGATTTCGGTAGACCTATTGATGTGTTAATATTTAGTAAACTCTTCATCAAATATCGCTGTAGATTTAGAACCACAAATCAACAAGTGCAATAGTTTTTAAAGTTCTAAAGGGGGTTTCTAAAGTTCCTTATGTAGCTTGGGCCATAAAAAAGGCTAAAACCCCCGACGTACCTATGACACGAGTATTTTGCTCGCATCTTTTGGCCTATTTAAAGTAACAAATACTTTCTTCGTACCTATAATTTATAGATTCCTATAATGACTATTCATAACAAATCTTAGCAAATAGAAATTCCGAAATAATAGCTCCTGTCACTCTTACCAAGATCCTTTACGAGTAAAAGGGTCCGCTAGAGACAAATATATTATTACACGTCACCATTGCAAATTATACATCGCCATAGAATAGGGCCTCAATAGTAACGTCTAGGTATTCAAAGGTGCTATTGTCCTACGATATACAGCTGAAATGATTTACTTTTGATTGGGTTCATTGTTTGCAGAACGTCGATAAAATAGAAAAGAAATTGGAGGAGGTGCAGTAACCTCACTTGCGGGACTATTACCACCTCGTCTCCACCGCTGCAACTCTATGTAGTCACGAAATACATTTTGACTGCTAATCAAAACACAACTTATAAAAAGTTAGAGTAGGCGCACACCGTTGATTTTTCGTCGGCCGATAGTTTAGTCGGGCAGTTGATCAGTATGGGCATGTATGGGAGTGCGCACACTACGCCGATTCGATTTGGCCGATTCTTCATACAATTTAAAATCGGGCACAACTATAAATCAACGGTGTGCGCCTACTCTTAAGGTCCACGAGTAGTTTTATCTCTCTAGTTCGTTCTCTCTCGTTTCAGCCATATGACGTCCACAGCTGGACAAAAGCCTCTCCCAAGGGTTTCCTTATCAACTGGTCCTGTGCTGCCCGCATCTAGGTTCTTCCCGCCACCTTCACCAGATCGTCGGTTCACCTAGTGGGGGGCCTGCCCACGCTACGTCTTCCGGCCCGTGGTCGTCACTCAAGAACTAGTAGAGAAGTAATAACCTCACTTAATAAAAAAACTGAGAAAATTCATTCAAAATCTCCATAATGCAATTGATGTAGGTTTTCTTTTTTTGTTTGAAACCCAAAAAAGTATGCTCCATTTCAAGGATCAAGTTCGGAACATCGTTCTGCAATATCTTTGCCTTTTGTGACGCCTTTTCGAAATCACGTAAACCTTACTGAACCCAAGTTACATTATAAAATGAAGATGTGATTTTAATGAGCTCCCGCAGTAGTCTGTCCGTAATTTACCGGACAATGGATGTATTTATGGGCGGTGACTGCTCTCACCATAAATAAAATTAATAAAACTCTTATTTCCAGAAACTTCTGACTCTGACATTAAAGTAGATAATTTTCTCGGATCTAAATACAGGCCGAGAGTTGTAACTTTTGCCTATTTTCATGCAGGTAAGGTAACAAAAGGGAACTAAAATCTAGTAATTGATGCAAAATCATGTCTAAAGAAAAATATAGGTACCATCCAGGTCTTTCAGTTTTCCATCTGATGCACGAATTTATGATAATATGGTATGTATGATGCAAATGGTATGGCGACCACGGGCCGGAAGACGTAGCGTAGGCAGCCCACTAGGTGGACCGAGGATCTGGTGAAGGTGGCGGGAAGAGCCTGAATGCGGGCGGCGCAGGACCGACCGTTATGGTCTTTATCCAGCAGTGAACGTCGTTAGGCTGAAACGAACGATGATGCAAATATTGAAGAAGCCCTATTTAGCCAATAAAGTCTGATATCCCGGCTGTGACTTCTGTTTTTATCTTCATGAAATAAAAATATACTTATCGATCGCAGTAACTAACATCAATAAAGATGATCGATAAAAATTATAATCATTATCTTTTTTTTGTCACCGATAATTTCATTAAATTGGCTTATTTCAGATCGCTTCATGAATGTTATTCGTGATAGATTGATTTTCGCAATCGCGACAAGTACCTAGTTTGTGACAAAAAAATCTCGAAATGTAGCGATTTCAGGATTTAAAGTATCACGAACGTTAGTACTGATTTTCTATACCTATTCAAATCCTAATCACGAACGAATTCAATATGCTCATTTTTTATACTTATTTCTGAGACTTATTTAATTCTAATAGAAATCCATTCGTCAACTGACAAATTTCAATATGTTTTTGGTCAAAATATCTACAGTTTTCGATTTTTTACATTGACATGTTGTTTACAAGACTATTAACGCATCGAAGATTGGGGATAATTGATCGAAAACATATTCTTTGACAATTGAAATCCTGATTTGACAAGGATTGAATATGGGAAACGGGCGTTAGTCCTGCAACGGGCATTAGTAGATCCGATAACAAAAGTCCTGTCAGTAGTACAGACTACAGATACTGAAATCGAAATGCAAAAGTCCGTTCCCACCAGCCGACTGCGCGCTGATTTATGCGCAGACGCGCGACACGCGGCCCGCGCCGATAAATATAATTGTGACGGGCTGCCTGTGCGGCGAGTGGGTAAGAGCTCTTACACAAAAGGCAACAGGTTCATACAGTCCTCGATATATTTTTTTAAATCAACAACGAGGACGCTCTTGGTCTGCATCTCTCCTAATGGAAAGTGAAGATCAGACCGAAGATGGAAGCGAGCTTCACCCGGAATCTTCAACCATAGAGGAATTGATAGAGGGTAACGCTTCAACGCAGATCCGAAGCCTGCAGCAGCTTGGAAATACTACTACCTCTCTATGAAAGTCTGGGTTTGTAAGAGTAAGGAGAAATGACAGTACTTTAAATGGCAGAAGCAAAAACGGAAAGAGCTATGCTGTAAAATATATCAACTAAAAACATAATTAAATCGATCAAAACCATTCCTTGTCGTCGAATAGGGGTTGATCCTTGCCTTCAACCAACTCTACTTCTCTTTATTTTCATCGCAGATCCAATGTGTACCCTAAGAATGGTACTCGTAGTACCTACGTGTTTGTTAATACTTCTCTGAGTTGACAGTAAAGTGCTCCGAATATTAAGTGCATAAGCCTTAATAAAATCTGAGTAGTGCTGCAAATCGTTCAAAAAGGCGGTTACATCAAGAGCACACGCGTCTTCTGCATTCTACGATATTGTTCTCACATGTTACACAAATCTGCACCTTAAAAATAAAATTTTAAGAATCAAAATTATTTCAAATAATGCATGTATACCTTACATGCATTTCTAAAATGGTATCTAAGAACAAGGGGCTAAGACTTAAAGTTAAACATACTAGCTAAACGTCGGGACTGTTTCGGCAACTCTGTAATTCATATCTTTGACTTATGCTATATTACATTTGGAAATAAAATGTTTTACTTTTACGACATTTTGTAACTTGGCGTAGCGTAAATTGTCTATTTACATGATACATTTTAGTCATTCAGGAATTCCTAGCATGACTAAGCCAGTGGTCACACAAGCGAGGCTTGATGTTAAGGAAATAGGGAAACTATAGTTTTAGATGTTCTTTAATAGAAGAGAAAGTTGGAATATCTCTTTGTTTAGATATTTATGCATTTTATTATTATTTTGCCTGCCGATAATTCAAGCAAAGTACATTATCTACTGAAACTTTTCCAAGGATTTCCACAACGATTGATTCCATATCTTCCGGCCCTTACAGCAACCTATACCAGATTGTCTGTCTAATGTCTGCCTACATCGGTAGATGCCTCTTTTTGCCTCAACTAATCTATACTAATATTATAAATGCGAAAGTAACTGTCCTGCTTTCACGCCTAAACCACTGAAGCGATTTTGATGAAGTTTGGCATAGAGATAGTTTGAGTCCCAGAAAAGGACATAGGATAGGTCTTATCCCGGTTTTTAAAACAGGGACGCGCGTGATAAAGTTTTTCTGTGACAGACAAAATTCCACGCGGGCGAAGTCGCGGGCGGAAAGCTAGTTATGTATAATCATAAAACGCTATCGATACAGATATTTATCATAACGATAAGCTAATGACTTTCAGTTTACTTAATGCTTTTTTTAACATTATCTCCTATAATAATCTAGCAATTTATTGCTTTGAACCATATTATTGATAACAGGAGGGCATTTTGTGGCTGGTCATTGAAAAAACCACATCTAGCAATCATGCAAGCAAAACAATTATTTATTTTAGTTGTAGCAGTAGTAGCTGGTTCAGCAGAAAAATCTTACGATGGATTCAAGCTGTACAAAGTGGTGCCAAAAACAGAAAAACAAGTGAATGTTTTAGAACAAATAAGAGATTCGGGATTGGGGGACTTTTGGATTGACTATTTCAGAGTCAATGATGATCTCAGGGTGTTGGTGTCTCCAGAAATGCAAGAAGTGGTTCAAGGAAGGCTGATGCAAGCGGGATTGGAAGTCAAAACTATTATAGAGGATGTTCAACAGTAAGAAACATTTTTATAACTTACTAGCTTTCCGCCCGCGGCTTCGCGCGCGTTGACCCCTGAGCCCTATGTTTTTCCAAAATAAAATTTAGCCTATGTTACTCGTGGATAATGTAGCTTTCGAATGGTGAAAGAATTTTTTAAATCGGCCCAGTACTTTTTGAGCCTATTCATTACAAACATACAAAAATAGGTACAAATCTTTCCTCTTTATAATATTAGTATAGATAAAAGCTTGTGTTAATTTATTTGAAAATCTTATCAAATTATTAATCGTTTTTAGGTTGTCTGCCAAGTTTTTGGTTTTAGTGGTTTTTTTATTTGTTTACTCTGTATTCTTTTGGATTTAAGCTTGATAAAGTACAAGTTACTTACTTGAAGAATTGTTACATACACTGAAAATAATATATTTTTATTATTATTTCCTCGATATGACAATGACAACAGCTTTTAAAAATTTCAGAGTAATCAACCAGCAATTGAACCCAAACCAAGTCGTCTCATCTAGAAGCAGCGGCTTCCTTTCTTACGACTGGGATAGCTACCATAACTTGACCGTCATCGAAGAATGGCTTGATGAAGTCGCCGCTGCTTATCCTTCTGTCGTCTCTCTCGTTACCATGGGTTACTCTGTCGAGAATAGGCCGATCAGAGGAATCATCATCAACTACAACTCCAACATAACAAAGCCTGTTGGCATCATTGAGGGAACCCTTCACGCTAGGGAGTGGATCTCACCAGCTACCGTCACTTGGATTATAAAAGAGTTCTTGAACAGTACTGATGCTGATGTTAGAGCAATGGCTGAGGACACAGAGTGGCATATCTTCCCAGTGGTGAACCCAGATGGCTATGAATATACTTTTAATGGTGTAAGTAAATATAGCGCCCGATCATACTTTCTATTGGATTGCGGTTAGGTTAGAATTGTCTGATTGTCCTACTGGGATTGTGATTCATCTCATCTATACTAATATACATGTGAAAGTAACTCTATCTGTCTTGCTTTCACGCCTAAACCACTGAAGCGATTTTGATGAAATTTGGCATAGAGATAGTTTGAGTCCCGGGAAAGGACATAGGATAGTTTTTATCCCGATTTTTGAAACAGGGACGCGCGCGATAAATTTTCTGTGATAGACAAAATTGCACGCGGGCGAAGCCGCGAGCGGAAAGCTAGTTGTCTTTAATTAAACCTTGAATGTACATGATTATTCAGATAACGGCAATTTGAAAGCTATGTAAGATAACGCATCAGTTAATCGCAATGATGGACATTTTTAAATTATGCGCAGTTTTGTGACGAAACAAAAATGCATTCAAATATGCTATTGGAAAAAAATCTAGATGTATTTTATCTATTATACGTTCCCTTTTCTCAGAACCGAATGTGGAGGAAGAACAGAAGTACGGCAAATTTCACCTCTTGCAATTCTACCGGCGTCGACGATGACATGAGCAATGGGGTTGATTTGAACAGGAATTTTGATTTTTACTGGATGAGTAAGTTATGCTTGTTTGTCGGTTAATGACTTTGCTTTTAGTAACATGATTATATCATATTATGAAATTCACTTCTGGAATTCAAGCCATCCTGAAAGAACGCTGCAGCAAGCTGTTTTGTTGCATCCAGCGGCTTCTACCTTTACTGGGTGTAGGAGATATTTTATACCCATGCTGATTTTTCCACAAAGTGACTATCTATGATTTTTTCTCCAGTTGTTATCATTTATGCGAGCGACGATGATGATGATGGCGACGATAGCCTGGCAATTTTTTAATCATGCCACAATAAAATTGTCGTAATCATAAATTTATCCTAAAGTTTACTGTACGAAATGGGTCAGAATGGAATATTTTTGACAGTGACCTAATGAAAAATGGTCTTCAGTCGAAGACTCCAGCGACAATTTAGTGTCCTTTGATCACCCACGGATACGATGCCCTGGGTGATCAAAGTGGACTCCAGTTAAATTATTATTTTAGTGTTCTTTGATCACCTACAAACAAATCACACTCGTATTCGTGGGTGATCAAAGGACACTAAATTGTCGCTGGAAGTCCACTTTGATCACCTGGGTCATCAAAGCCAGGTGATCAAAGTGGAATAGACCAATGAAATGACTTTAATTATGTCCATTATGTGACTTTCCAGGTGTCGGGGCCTCAGACAATCCTTGTACCAACACCTTCGCTGGACCCTCAGCTGGCTCAGAGCCGGAGACCAAGGCAATCTCGCAGTATGTTCTGAACCTGCACCAGGGCGGAAGGAACATCATGTACTATCTGTCATTCCACTCGTACTCCCAGCTGTTCATCTTACCGTACAGCCATGTTACTGAGCCAGCTGCTGACAATCACGACGATTTGGTGAGGAGATAAGCATTTTTAATCTTATCGTATGGATCGAATCTTCGCTAGATTTCTCCAATCGTTCCGGTTAAAAGCCAGCGTTTGCTACTTCTTCTAAGATTTGTGAGAAATCATACTTGAAAGATAGTTTAACAAAACCTCTTCATAAATCCATTAAGTTTTTAAAAGCACTAAGATCTATGGCAATACAGGCAAAAACGTAGTAGCGTTTAACTTTTGGAGTTCGTTCGGTTGTTCGTTCGTTTCAGCCAAATGACGTCCACTGCTGGACAAAGGCCTCCCTCAAGGTTTTCCACAATGAACGGTCCTGCGCGCTGAAACTTTTGGAGTGAATAGCCCAAATTGAGCCATTGAAAAAAATCTTTAAATACCTAACTAAAACAAATAAACTTAATTGAAACAAAACAAGAGCAAACATGTTTTTATCTGATCCGTTACCAAAATTAAATGAAAATGTATTTTCATTCACAGATGTTAATAGCATCAAACAGTTCCACGAAAATTTTTGAGAGATACCACACCACGTACAGAGTTGGAATAGCTCAGGAAGTTTTATGTAAGTTTGTTTATGAATTACATTAAAAATAAACTCTATATTAGCAAATAAAATTCAAGTGCATAACTCAAGTCAGTGCCTGAGGTATGGGAGCAGCACGGGAGGGGTGACTTTGACATATTAGGACGTGATAAAGCCTGGTCCGTGAGCACGTCGAATTTTGTCCAATGACCCCAAGCTACCCATCCCTATCGCTCGCGCGTAATTATATTGCTGTCGCGACTGTCCGACGGGTGCCTGCAGTGAGTGTGCTCACGGACCAGGCTTTAGAGCAGTGGTTCTTAACCTTTAAGTCATGAGGGACCATTTTACCAAATTTCTGTCTTGTCAGGGACCACCTCATAATCGGTCAAAACCAATTTGACTGCAAAAATCAGTTAAAAGTGGTTTTGACCAAGGTGTGCAAGTGCACATCGTGGACCACTTGGAATGCCTCCAGGGACCACCAGTGGTCCGCGGACCACCGGTTAAGAACCACTGCTTTGGAGCATACAAATCTGAAGCATACTTATCTGAAGTCTCGCTCATGTTTGACGTCTCAAAACACCCATGTCGCTTCCATATCTCAGGCACTGATTGAGTTTAGCACTAGATCTATAACACCCTTTTCATTTGCAACTGAAATATTCTTGTTTTTTTTTTACATTTCAGACCCAATGAGCGGCTCGAGCTTTGACTGGGTAAAGCTGTACGCAGACGCCTCCGTCAGCTATTTGATCGAACTTAGAGACCTTGGGGAAACCGGCTTCCTTCTTCCACCAGAGCAGATCATACCTAACAATCTGGAAATGATGGACGGCTTGATAGAAATGGATAAAGCAACGAAGCGATTGGGATACTTTTCTGGCGGTTCTAGCGTTATCTATTCGTTGACTTTAGTTAGTTTAGCTGTTGTTTTTGTTAATTTGATTAACTAAAGACAATAGCATTATTGCCAAGTAATTTATTATTTTATGATATTTAAATTGCTACTGTGAATTTAATACAAATTTATAAATAAACGCAATATAAATCAGTATTTTTTATTGTTTGGAGTATCAACTAATATAATAATATTGCAACAAAAAAAATTGCCACAGTGATTCTAAGCACAAAAAATGATTCGTGATCTTATTGAGTTAATTTATTATAACAAAAATATATTTTTCAAAATTTGTTTTTATTTATATAACTTTTGGACTATTTAATTTTGGGGTCGATAAAGGTCGATCCCCACAAAACGACGTGCCGACCACGACCGCATTCGCTCTGATTTATTTGTGACACATGACACTGTAGCGTGCTGAGAAATAAAGATAAATACAGGACGTAAAACAAAAGTGCTAAATGTTTATTTTGAAAATTTTCAAAATTTCTTAGACTACATTTTCTCAGTCTAGTGGCAAATGGACTGATTCCAAACAATGTACATAGATACTATACAAATCTTATAAAGATGAGGCCTAGACATTGGTCTAGCTTAAAATTATCAACAACATGAATAGTTGCATTTTTATTCATATTTTGTATGCATAAACAAATTTTAATATTAACTGCTTACTGTCAATTAAGATTAAAAATGTGACTTATTGCAAAAGTTTATAGAAAATTTTAATCTGCTAATAATCTCTGATAATATAACAACTGAAAGTATTAATATTCCATTTCGTGCTATAATTTTAACGAAATCAGTTGCTACAATGAAAAAAATACATTTTTTTACAATATTGTTAGTGGCGACAGTAGTTATAGCAGAAAAAAAGTCCTACGATGGATACAAATTGTATAAAGTTACACCAAAAACGGAGAAGATAGTGAATATTTTAGAACAAATAAGAGATGCTGGTATTGCAGAGTTCTGGAGTGATTTTATAAATGTGGATAGTGACATCAGAATATTAGTTGATCCAGAAAAGCAAGCAGTGTTTCGAGGAAGGTTAATTCAAGCCGGTGTGGAGGTCAAAACCATTATTGAAAATGTCCAACAGTAAGAATTTCATTATAACATTTTAATGCAATAGCATGGCCCGTGTTTACTTTCTAAGAATCCTAAATAGTCACTTTGTTATTACTCCGCAAATTTTGTAAACTTTACTTGCTGTTTGTATTAGACAATGTGATTTTTTATTAGATGTTCAAAAGGGTTGGTTCTACTACTCTGATACAACTATTTTCCAGTAGGTTGAATGTCCGATTGCTCAAAAACCAAATTTTAAGTTTTGGGAAAAGTTGTTGCGTTTGAGCAGTAGTATCCATCTTTTTTGTTTGACCATCTATTAATGAATCACCCTGTATAAATTGCATTTGGGAACATTGAGCGTATTTGTCTCAAAAATGCTTTAATATCAACCTCTTCAATGAGCAACCAATATGTAACGTTCCTCAATGAGAGTATTTGATTTCAAAACTAAAAATTCCAGAGTCATTAACAACCAACTGAACCCAATAGAAGTAGATCCATCCAGAAGCAGCAGTTTTCTTTCCTACGACTGGAATGCCTACCACAACTTGACTGACATTGAAAGGTGGCTTGATGAAGTGGCCACAACAAACTCTTCTGTCGTCACTAGAGTTACCATCGGGCAGTCAACTGAGAACAGGCCTATTAGAGGAATCATAATCAACATCAACCGGAATAGAAGGAAGCCTGTTGGCATCATTGAAGGTACTCTCCATGCTAGGGAGTGGATTTCAGCAGCCACGGTCACTTGGATCATCAAAGAGTTTTTGACGAGCTCTGATCCAGACGTCAGGAGAATGGCAGAGGAAACTGAGTGGCACATATTTCCAGTGGTAAATCCTGATGGATATGTTTACTCTTTTACTGAAGTAAGTATTCGTTTTCATTTGAAATTAAAACTTATTCGATCAAGAAAGTTATTATCGCACTTATCAATGACCATGACAAATAATATTATCTTGAACTTACAGACAAAAAATGAAAACAAGGCCAACTTAATTGCACCATCTTACTTTAACTTTAAAAAACTTCAAAATATGTCAAACTCCATACAAAAACACCGGTCATTGTTATGGTTGCGGTTCAATTTAGATGCAACTCGGTAATAGAAACAGATAAAAACAATAAATAACAGAATATTTTTGCATACTTTCTACAGAACCGAATGTGGAGGAAGAACAGAAACCCAGCATACTTCACATCTTGCCTGGCTGCCGGTGTTCCTGATGATATGAGTCGTGGAGTGGACCTGAACAGAAATTTCAATTTCTTCTGGATGTGTAAGTTGATGGTAGAATTAGAAAAACTAGGCTGTAAATAATGACCTGATCAGTCTACCCTGTCGCAATCACGATAATAATAATGAAATAAAAACTTTCGGACGTTAGTAGATAAAAATAGTAGAGGCAGATGGAGATTACACTGATGTTTTTTCTTTAAACTCTTTAGCCATGTGGTTTTGGCAAAGTAGAAAAAGACCACCCCCGTTCATTCCACAGACGTCGTAATAGGCGGCTAAAGTAGAAAAAATAAGCATCAGTCCTCTCAAACCCGTCCTGGTGTCTTAGAAATTTGTGCTCCTGCAGAGGCGACTACATGAACTGATTATAATGAAGCCGTTAAAGTTTTAAACCAATCAATTGTTTCAACAGCCACTGGAGCATCAAGCAACCCTTGCACAAACAATTTCGCCGGTCCATCAGCAGAGTCAGAACTAGAAACAAGAGCCATCGCGCAATACGTGTTGGGTCTAAGACAGAATGCGGACATAGTGTACTATCTGTCTTTCCACTCGTATCTCCAGTGGATAATGTTGCCGTACAGCCATGTGAATGTGCCATCAGTTAACAATCATAATCATTTGGTAAGGAGACAAAATATTTTAATCTTTGTGTGTACTACTGCTGGGGAAAAAGCTTTACTAAATCCTACCTACTATACTATGTAGTTCAAAAGCAAAAAGAATTTCAAACTTTCGCAAAATATGAAAAGGTTTTATCATAACAATTATTTCAATAGATTAAAAATTAAGTTGGTGATTTCATTCGTGAAATAATTTATGCACTAGCTTCCAAATCCTGTTTGATATAAAATTGCCATTGGAACTGTCCTAATTACGTTACTTTCGCCATCAATTTAGTTTTTGTATCTTAGTAAGAATCAAACAAAGTTTTAGGAAATGTTAATTATCAATATTTGGCATGTAAAGACTCTAATCAAAAATCAGAAAATCAAAAATCAAAATTATCTTTATTTGTTTAGACTAATTAAATTAGTACTTACAAATCGTCAATTAATGCTCTTATGGAGCCTATACATGTCTTTTTTAGCCCTACCAGCGCTTCGAGACAAACATTTGGCAATTGCTGTACTTGCAATCGTTCATTTATCAACATCCTAAAAGCCTGTAACAACAATAAATTCCATAAGCATTTCCCCAGTGTTTCGGATTCTAATTGAAAAATCATTACCTAGCGAGGGCAGCGGCTCTGAAAATTTCATGAACAGTGTAACAGGATTGTTTGTTCGTTACCCGGCTGTACCGGGCCCGGATGAAATGGGCTTTAGAGTTACCACAGGCTTGAAAGTGGGTCTGATGTATAATTTAAGCAGGCTGGGGCACCGATATTAAAGGTGATAGGACGTTGGCAAAGGCTAGATTTTGTGGGTCAAAGATTATGAAGATGTTTATTTTGTATCTAATAATGCCTACATAATTATTGTTGTATAAAAAGTTAAGAGTCGAACGAAATTGTTTAAAATTAATTTCACATTTTGAATATTTATAAATATTTTGCAAGTTTTAAAGGAAACAATATTAATGTAAAAAAAAAATGATTTTTTTCTACTTAGATTAAGTTTCAGGGTAGGTAATCTTTACTGCTACTGCACCCATAAACTATGTATGTTAATTACAGAAGTCAAAATACCTTTGACAATAAACATTATTTTCGCTTTCAGATGGAAATAGCAACAAACAGCTCTGTGAAGATTTCAGAGAGATATGGAACTCGATACGAAGTTGGAATATTAAATCAACTCATGTGTAAGTGAAATGTTATTCAATTTAAGCTAACAAATTCACACCAGTGCATAACCTAATATTACACTTAACCGATGTGAGTTGAATAGATTTAAAGCTTCAGAATTTATCTTTGAAATATTCTACCCTATTAAATTTGTCTTATCTACCCTAATAACTTAAAAAAAAAACCGACTTCAAATGCGTGAACACAAAAAAAACTAAAAATTAAAAATATTGCGTATAAAAAAGTTCATCCCCAATTTTCCACCCTTGGGGGTGAAATATTTTCTTCAAATTCGCATGAAACCACCCTTTTGATAATACCTATTCAACAAAAAAATAATCGTTCAAATTGATTTATAATCGGCGGAGATATTGCGTATAAAAAAGTTCATCCTCAATTTTCCACCCTTGGGGGTTGTTTTTTCTATTATTAAATTTAAATGGGACCACCCTTGAGGTATTACCTATACGCCGAAAAAAGATTTGTTCAAATCGGTTCATAATTGGCGGAGTTATCGCGTAACAAACATAGAAAAAAAAACATACGGGTCGAATTGAGAACCTCCTCCTTTTTTGAAGTCGGTTGATAAGAAGGAGCTCTCTTGCTCAGCTAAGTATTTCATAATATAAAAAAAAATTTTTTTTCAAAAACAAGCTTTTAATGCTCTAAAAAGAATAAAATAAAACAAACCCATCAACTTATTACTTTACTCAATTTATATGATTAAAAGCTTGTCGCGAGATTAACTAGATGTATGTATTTAACTATTTGATTTTTTTCTAAGATCAAAGTTTTAGCAAGATCAAGTTACGTATTTAATGTATTTTTCTACTCGTCAATACGAATCAAATGAGCCCAAACTCGATGACATTGTGTCGTTTTATTGCAAATTTCCTATGACTACCTTGAACTACCTTCCGGCTCCATCATCAGACCCTGGTTACCATGTAGGATTGAAGTACTCGTCAATATAAATTAAACGAGCCCAAACTCGACGGGGTTGTGTTGTTTCAGTGCGAATTTCCTATGGACACCTTCCGGCTCCATCATCAGACCCTGATGGTTACCATCTATGATTAAAGTACTCGTCAATAAAAATTAAACGAGCCCAAACTCGATGAGGTTGTGTTGTTTCAGTGCGAATTTCCTATGGACACCTTCCGGCTCCATCATCAGACCCTAATGGTTACCATACAGGATTATAGTTCTCGTCAATACAAATTAAACGAGCCCAAACTCGATAGGCCTGTGTCGTTTTATTGCGGAGTTCCTATGACTACCTTCCAGCTCCATCATCAGATCAGCTCCGTGTCATCATAATATTGCATTGTCATCCGACTTACACATGCATGCAAAATTCCAGCTCAATAGAAAACCGGGAAGTGGGTCAATTTTAAGTTGCAAGATTTGACGACAGACACCAGACATGTGAAAGTAATAAAAAGCTTGTAATAAAAAACAGGAGTCTATACTAACTTGTCTAAACTAATATTTATAAAGAGGTAAGATTTGATTGTTTGTTTGTATTGAAAAGACTCCGAAACTACTGGACCGATTCAAAAAATTATTTCACCATAAAAATCTTACATTATTTCTTATGAATATAGGCGGTACAAAGTTCGCGGGGCAGCTAGTCATTATAAGCATTCGTACCTTTTCCTGTCATTGATTTTCAATTCTTGTTTTCTTTCAGTTCCAGCCACAATAAGTGGTTCAAGCTTCGACTGGGCCAAATTCCACGCGAATGCTTCTATTAGCTATTTATTTGAACTACGAGACCTCGGAGAATTCGGTTTCCTCGTGCCACCTCAGCAGATCATACCCAACAATTTAGGAATTATGGACGGCTTGGTAGAAATGGACAAGGCAACAAAACGTTTGGGATACTTTTCTGACGCTTCTAAGGTTGTTTACTCTTTGACGCTAGTTAGCTTAGCAGTGATTTTCGGGAGTTTGGTAAACTAATGTAGGTGTATTAAAGGGGAATTGTGATCAGAAATAAAGGAAAATACATAAACGTACTTGAAAAATATTTTGTTTTTAAATCATTATACATTCCAAAATATTCCCTTTTCCTAACGTGGTAATTAAACTACACCAAGTTTCTAAGATTTTAAAATATTATTATACCCATCAAAACATTAATTAATTCAAAAGAAAGAAAGTGCCAAAATATTATGTAGCTTTGTATATGCGTGGGCAGGCCTCCCACTAGGTGGACCGACGACCTGGTGAAGGTCGCGGGAGGTACCTGGATGCAAGCGGCGCAGGACCGGTCTTTGTGGAAATCCTTGGGGGAGGCCTTTGTCCAGCAGTGGACGTCTTTCGGCTGAAACGAACGAACGAACGAACGAACGATATGACAAAATAATTGAGATGTAAATAAGTTCAAAGGTTTGACTTGGCTAGTTTTCATATACCAATCGTATTGTGGTAATCGATTAATTAGACCACTCGTTTGCTCTAACAAGCATCGATTCTCATTATTCATTCATTGACTAACCACTACCACTATTCTAGCTCAAAAAAATGGTAATAAGATTGAATCCATAACAAGATCCCGGAACCTTTACAAGGCGAGAGTGAATAGGCACTTAGAGGGCAAGTATGCACCATCTTAGACTGCATCTCACTTAACATCAGGTGCGATTGAGGTCAAATAACTGTTTTGTTCTGCATAAAAAAGACCCAAATTAGGGAAACCAAATTGAAAATGACTTATAAAACTATCTTTTTTGTAATAATTTATTCTTACTGATAATAGCGGGTTTAGTTATCTAATTCCCCATCATATCAGGTATTTTTTGTATTGATAAATGTTATCATTTAATCCACATTTTTTAGATCGAACTTCAGTTCAATTAGGTTACTACTGCAAAGTCAGTATGTATTTTAGGGTAGCATTTTTAGTAGCAATATTAGCTATAGTAAATTGTGAATATGTGAGCTATAACAATTACAAAGTGTATAAGGTCAAACCTGAAACAGATAAAGAAGTGGAAATTCTATACGATGCAGAGAAGGAGCAAGGTTACCTATTTTGGGATGAGGGTTTTAGAAGAGGAAGAGATGTCAGAATCATGGTAGCTCCCGAAAAACAACATGAGCTAGTCAAGTACTTCTCTGAAAGCGGAATGACGGCAGAACTTATGCTACTGGATTTTGAAAGGTAAATTGATGATACAAATGTTACAGTAAGTTTTTGTTATCTTACCACATGACCCAATCCATCTTGTATACAGCAGTTAAATATTAGAAGGCAAATTAAATATGGGCCTAAATTGAAAGCGCCATTCCAATAATAGAAAGTAATTGTCAATCAATATGAAACAACATCATTAGTTTTTTAAGTAACTAATCCACAAAAAATAGAATAGGTCACGATACTACATGATTATAATTTCAAAATTCTTTTTAGATCCGCAGAAGTACAACGAGCAAGGCCAGTTACAGTAACTAGAAACCAAAACGTGAGAAACTATGCTTGGGAATTCTACCAAACATTGGATGAAATCTACGAATGGATGGACGCAATGGCTGAAGATTATCCTAACGTAGCCGAAGTTGTCACTATTGGAACTACCGAAGAGAATAGACCTATTAAAGGTTTGGTTATAGACTTCAAAAAGAGCGAAAACCCAGTGTATGGATTCATAGAAGGCGGACTTCATGCTAGGGAATGGATATCCCCAGCTATGTCGACCTGGATCATAAAAGAGTTTCTGACGAGCACCGATCCAGGTGTTAGGACTATGGCTGAAGATATTGTGTGGCACATTTTCCCAGTCACCAATCCAGATGGATACGTGTATTCTTTTACTGATGTAAGTATTCATGTATCGATTAAAAATAAAACATTCTACTCGATGGCTCGACGATAGCTCGACAAAAAAGCGAAAGATCATGTTTTATAGTGTATCTCTAGAGACGATTACGTTCTGAACTATCTTAGGCAGAATGAAATGGTGCTCAGAAAAATCATGCTCAGAATTCAATAAGCAGTTTGTTTGCTGGTTATAACATAGAAATATAGAAATTCTCCAACCATGCTAAGATTCTCATATTGGTGTTTATTGATTTCAGGATAGAATGTGGAGAAAGAACAGGAATAAGGCTCACTTCACTTCTTGTTCTCAATGGAATCTCCCCGATGACGCAAGCAACGGTGTGGATTTGAACAGAAACTTCGGCTTCTTGTGGAATAGTACGTACCAATATTTGTATAAAAAAGCACTTCAGACTAGGTATACATTTTTGTTTCAAAATAGTTGATGTACCTAATCACAAAAATGGCCTATTTATCTAAACTTATAAACAAGCAGTAAAATAGCTGAGGTTTCTCTCAAGAGTATTTAAATGAAGAAAGTCTCATATAACCCAAAGAACGCGATTGATTTCGATGCTGACATATAATATGAAAAGTAGGTGGTCGAGTCTCTCCATACAAATGCTTTCTAGAAATATGAGTAACTAGACATTGACAATATTCAAAGTAGACTAACTTCTAGATTAAAATTTTCTCAAATAAGTCAGGCACAGTCAGCGTCAAATAGTTCGTGATACCCAAAGGCCCAGAACAGACGGTGAAACGCAACTGCAACGAAACTGCAACTTTGTCATGATTCTGATGAATGAAACTGAAACTGAAATTTTCAAACTGGTCGCGTCATGTGTGGTCTCTCAACGGACGCTATGGCAGAAACTTAGATGCAACTCAAAAGTAAGTTTCGTTACAGTTGCGTTTCACCGTCTGTTCTGGGCCTAAGTGACCAAAAAGTTGACAACACAACCTTAATACAAAGACGGGTTGCAAAGTGCAAGGAGAAGAATGACTACTTTGGGTATCACAAACTATTTGACGCTGACTTAACTCTTCAAACATAAACATTTCTATTATTTGTACCTATATTGTACTAGATATTTAATTTTATCAGCAATGTACTTTGTATCAAATAATAAGTAGTATTTAATCACGTTTGTATTTTTTATCGTTTTATCCTTATCATTTACAATGACGATAGATAATTTGCAATCGATTAATAACGTTATCGAAGAAATAATTTTAATAATCATCACTTTCCATAGTCGTTTTTTTTTTAATTTTACAATTTAATTACCACGTGAATACTTTAAGATATTTTTAAATGCGTGTCCTAATACAAATTCTAGTTCCAAAAACCATATTTTAGCAATCCTTATAATTCTTAATTTGATTACAGCTATTGGGGCTTCGCTGAATCCTTGCGCTCAGACATTCGCTGGAGCCAGTGGATTCTCCGAAAAAGAATCTATTGCGATATCGAATCACATCAACTCGCTTCAACAAAGCGGAACTGTGTTGTACTACTTGAGTTACCATTCATATACTCAGTTACTTCTGATTCCATACAGCCATGTTTCTGGTGCTGGAATATTGGAAGCAGATAATTATGGTGATTTGGTAAGGATAATGTTGTATTGTAAAAAACGGGACTATTCCCACCGCTCTTGTCCACCACTGCAACTCCTGTGTAGCCAGGATCTACAGCTTGACCGCCAATAAAAAACCAACCAATGAAGGTCAATTTTGTCTCGGGGGAAAGTTAAACTGTCATTGAACCCGCAACTAAATTAATCAGAAGAACATAGGAGTACGAAGTTAAGGTTCGACTTCCCTCCGTTGCAAAGCGGATGACAGGTGACAAACAAAGGTTTAGTAACCTTTATGAAAAAACTAAGACAGAGTAGACTGTTTTGTAAAGTAAGACAGAGTATTTAATTAAAAGTATTCTAATTTACTACTGAATTCCATTTCAGTTTGAAATTGGTATAATGGGAATGGACAAACTCACTGCGCGTCACAACACGACTTACACCGTGGGCACCTCAGCTGACATTTTATGTAAGTATCAAATACCATCATAGCTCAACGGATTAGCGAGCTGAAGTGGCAATGGGCAGGGCATATGGTACGCAGAACTGAGGGCCGATGGGGCAACAAGGTTCTGGAGTGGAGGCCACGTACTGGAACGCGCACCGTAGGACCGTAGGACGTCCACCCACAAGGTGGACCGACGACGTCGTAAACGTAGCGGGAAGGCGCTGAATGTAGGCCGCAACCAACCGGCCATTGTGGAAATTATTAAGGGAGGCCTACGTTCAGCAGTGGACGTACTTTGGCTGAAATAGTGATGATAATGATGATCAAACACCATGCACATTTTTCACGAACAAAACGAGTAGGTATTCATTATGCAAAATTGTAATAAATGCCAAATTTTCAGATCCGGTGAGTGGATCAGGATTCGATTGGGCCAAAGGAGGGGCACATATACCACTCGTCTTTCTATTTGAACTCCGTGACTTGGGAGAATACGGTTTCTTACTGCCACCAGAACAAATAATACCTAACAATGAAGAAACCATGGATGGAATGGTTGAAATGCATAGAGTAGCTAGATCTTTGGGATATCACAGGAGCTCAGCAGGTTCAATTGTAAATAGTATGCTACTATTGATTGTGTCGGTTGTAGCTGCTTTGAGATTGAAATAAATTGTTGGTGATATTTCAGTTTTCGTTTCATTTTGACTTTTGAATTCGTAAATAATATCAGTCACAGCATTTAACAAAATAATGCACTGTAATATTTTAATTTATCTGAAGTATTTATTTTCGATATATTTTATTGTTTTATTGATCTTAAACTTTATAGCCTGATCTTATCTTTATGAAGCAAGCACTAAATAGATTGTAATATATGATATTAAATAAATGTTTTGGTTATGTAATTGAATAATTAAAACCTAATTTTAATGGAATTGAATTTCAATGTAAATTTAATTGTTATGGTGTTTTTTGTTTGTTTACTCTTGTATGATTGCCCTGTTTTTCTTCTTCTTTTCCTGTACATTGCGCCCCCCTGCTGACAACAGAGGGCCCCCGCTGAAAATCAGTTTCGAGACAAGCCTTGGCGCGGTCTTGATGTATGCTGAGCGGGTGCCTTTTTGTCAGAGGGGCTCAAGCAGCTATCTGTACATTAATTTGTGTATCTCCTTCATTGTGTATGTATGTTTTTCCTGCTTGTATGTCTTTCTTTCAAATAAAAATTATTCTATTCTATTATTCTATTCTATTCTATTGTTGAAAAATAACTCTTGCATCGAATTTAGTTTAACTAAGTAGTCATTTTTGAATTTCATTCAGAGACGCTATAATGAAGAGCATAGCAATTATCGCCCTATTCGGGGTTTTTGGTTCAGCATTCGCTGTAAATAGCTACGAAAACTATAAAGTGTACAAAGTAGTGCCTAATTCAGTTGAACAAGTTCAAATTTTGGTTGATTTGCGTAAAGAAGGTTACGACTTTTGGACTGACGTGTTTGATGTTGGTAGCGATGTGAGGATCATGGTGTCACCGTCACAGGATGAAGAATTCAGCCAGTATATTACTAAAGTTCGATTAAATGCGGTAGTTGCTATTGCTAATGTTCAAGAGTAAGTACATACATATAACATAATAATATTTTATGAACAAATTAAAAAAGGTGAAAACTGTATTCTAGCGTCATTCGATTTTTTTAAAAGTAATTTAAAAACCTAATTAAAATATGAATATTGCAGACTCATCAATGCTCAGAAAATTCCAGCAGAAAACGCACGTTCTAGTCGCTTGGGGTCGTACAGTTGGGACAGATATTATTCTCTTAGTGAAATCCACGCGTGGCTAGATGAGCTTGAAACTACATACCCTGACTACGTCAAAACTGTCACTGTGGGTCGTTCCTATGAAGGCAGAGAGATCAAAGGAGTAGTCATAGATCTAAAAGCTGGCAACAGAGAAGGAACACCCTTGGTTGGAATGATAGAAGGAGGAATACACGCACGAGAATGGATATCTCCGGCTACCGTAACTTGGATAATCAAGGAGTTTTTGACGAGCACCGACCCTGATGTGAAATTCATGGCCGAGACCCTCGTCTGGCATATTTTCCCAGTCATCAACCCAGATGGCTACTTGTACTCTTTCAACAATGTAAGTTAGATGTTCCGTATACGATTAAAAGACAAACATTTTTGTAATGATAATGGCAAATTACCTAAACAATCAATTTGGCGTTTCAGGACCGTATGTGGAGAAAGAACAGGAACCCCGCAAATCACGTCCAATGTGGAACTGACGATGACATTGGCAATGGAATAGACCTGAACAGAAATTTTGATTTCGTATGGAGAAGTAAGTTTTGAAAGTTATTTCTGTTTTATTTATCATTTCGATTTTGATAAATAAAGATCTCGTAGCTTCCGTGAAAGTACATTCATAAAACGTTCTGTTGCAGCCATCGGAGCTTCATCAAACCCTTGTGACCAAACATACTCCGGACCAACTCCATCATCAGAACTGGAAGCCATAGCCATTTCCAACTACGTCCTCCAACTGAAGGCCAGTGGGAACATGATCTATTACTTTGCTTTCCATTCGTACTCCCAGATGATTCTGGTGCCTTACAGCCATGTTACTGGTTATGGCGTACTAGAAGCCGAGAACTATCCTGACATGGTAAGATAAATTCCTTATTCAAATAGTGTATATTCTTCACACATTATTCTTCAGAATAAATCTTAAGAGTTAGCAAAGTACAATGGCCTTATGCTCATCTTTAACATTATAGAAGCCACCCATATGGTATCTATGGTTACCAAGTTTTCGAATGCTGGCTGCGTTTATGCAAGCACAGCGCGGGTCACCTTTTGGTAAACTAGTGACGAATGCGAAAGTAACTCTGTCTGTCTGTCTGTCTTGCTTTCACGCCTAAACCACTAAACCGATTTTAATGAAATTTGGCATAGAGATAGTTTGAGTCCCGGGAAAGGACATAAGGATAGTTTTTATCCCGGTTTTTGAAACAGGGACGCGCGCGATAAAGTTTTTCTGTGAAAGACAAAATTCCACGCGGGTGAAGCCGCGGGCGGAAAGCTAGTAGAAAAATAATATGCAAATGATTGGTTTAAATGACAGCGATAATAACATGATTGAAATGATGTTGACGAGAAACAAAATTTATTTGTTTGGTTTTGTGAAATCATATTATTATTTTGTCTCTTCTTCAGAATTTCTGTTATATGATAATTTGATCTCCTAAATATAGCTTACTTCAGTTACCCTTTAAATGTTTAATTCCCAGTATGAAATAGCGATTCGTGGAGCTGAAAAACTGACAGCCCGTCATGGAACACAATACACTGTTGGCACATCTGCTGAAATTCTCTGTAAGTTGTTATCTCACATAAAATAATCCATTTTTATCATCCTTGAATTTACGATGTCGGTAAACTGACTGAGTTATTTGAGTACTCCTTTGTGTGAATATGAAAATTAATTAAAAAAGGTTTAGACCGTGAAACTTGATCGTTTGTGGTAATTTATTTGTGCTTAAAAATAACAATAAAATATTATGTAAATGTGAAGAAAAGCTATCACTCATATTTTGGGATTCGAGAGCAATAAAGGCTTTCAAATTTTTTGTTATCCATATTAGTTTAATTTAGAGAATTTCATGGGTTTTCTTATAATCATTGTATCATAGTTTGCAATCATTAATATTATAGATAAAGTAAGTCTGGTGCTAAACGTAGCCATATAATTCGTTATCAGCCCGTATCCAGTTGCTACTCCAATCTGGTCGTCCGTCCATCAGACAGGCTGTTACGTTCGTGGTTTGATGAACATATTTTTGTTTCACAGACGCAGTCAGCGGGTCCAGTTTCGACTGGGTGAAGGGTGTTGCTGATATTCCTATAGTCTACTTATTTGAGCTTCGTGACATTGGAGAGTATGGCTTCCTTCTTCCTACAGAACAGATCATTCCCAATGCTGAAGAAATCATGGACTGTCTGGTTGAAATGGAGAAGACTACGAGGAAATTAGGGTATTACACTGGGGCTGCGAATGGCGTTGTTAGCTCGATACTGGCTGTTACATTTGGAGTTCTGATGATGGTTTTGAATTATTAAAAAGATTTTCCTTTATCATGTTCTGTTTTTCTTTTGTTTTATGATATTATTATGATAAAAATTAAGAGAGTGAGTTTTTTCTCCTTTCTTGCGATGTTTATTTGTTTTCTATTCCTCGATAACCCAGAAAAGTTATTTTTTATCTTTACTCAAAAATGTTCTTACATTTTTATTTACCTACTATCTTACATAGTAAAAAATGATTCTGGCACCCAATACAGAACAAATAAGTAAAAAAAACATAGACACACGCAAAATTATATCACTTTATAACTAACCCATCCCAAAAGGCCGCCATTTATATCCACACTTCATCACTGTCACTGCGCATTCCGCGCAAATCCGTAAACCTACACACTACACCATATTCCGTTGTAGTAAGGTTTAAAATCCAACAAAAATTTATATTTGCACGTGATACACCACCCTTGCACCCCTCTTTTAAAAATAAACAAACACATGACAGTGTGGTAAATAAAAATAAATTACTGCGCCCCTGAGTGCCCGATGCATGACTAAAATCAGATGTCGAAACGAGACCACAAATCATAACGCGTATCTGTGCGGTTCCTTTGAATTGGAACAGCGAGAGCTGTGGAGTAAGCTACGTTACTTGCTTTTTTAAAAAGACTTATTAAGTATTGAGGTCGAAACCACCATTTTTTTCTTCAATTATGTATGCTTTTTGTAAATCTATCTAAATGAATGTTTATGATTGGTATGTTTAGATGGCTATAAGATTGTCAGTAAAATTAAAATAATGGTTTTACATGAAGCTATAATAGCTTCATAAAAAACCATTAATTGTAGCTTAGGGCGCTTTCAATTTAGACGTTTCGTGTCGAACGTTTGTCGTGCGTTTGCAATACCTACCGCACACTTATTGGTAATTGACAATTTTATTCCGACGGAGTTGTCATACTCATACCGTGTGCGGTTCTAAATTGAAAGCGCTCTTTAGCGTAGGTGCTACAATAAATAATATATTTTGTTAAAGATGGATCAAAAAAATATATTAAGCAACGAAATACTTATTATACTTTTTGTCGCAAAACTATGGATCGAAAGCGACTCTACAGATTCTATGTCGAAGGGACATTTTCAATTTATATGATAATATTCCGTAATGATCCAGTTTTTATTGTTTTCCTTTCTAACCTTGCGTAAAATTAAATTGTTTGGGGTTTGCTGTTAACTAAGGTTTTTATGTCCCCAACAAAGGGAGCCACTAACTCGTTTTCCATTATTATGGGTGAAATAACAAGGAAATTTTCTTCTTTCTCTTCTCACTCTTTTGTTTAAAACCTCTGGGATTTTGTATTATAAACAGCTGATAGTACTTCAGTAGTAATTATTGGCACGTGTCCGAAAACATAACCCTGAATTTTTCCAGATTTAGATTCTGGTTGGTAATGAATGCTAAAATAAATAATTAAAGACATCTCCTAAAGTACATACCTACTGTAATTTAATATTAAAATTTGTGATCATCCTATAGGAATCAAACGCAAAACCGTTTTTTTCGTAGGTCAGAACCAGATACTAGAATAGAAGGCTGACGAAGTAGTAATTAATTATTTACACTATTTAGGTTACCTTCTTAGTTACAAAGTTTGCAAAACCAATTTCGAAGTCCTTAAAGAGCTGAAACTAAACATTTTCTTGAGCTTAAATTAGGTATACCTAGTTTAGTTCAAGAACTAACTAACTTAGAGCCTACCTAGTTTAGTTAGAGCAAAAAATAGGAGTTAGAGCTTCCAATTCAAACGCATTCTTTATTTGCTTTTCATCTACACGAAATATTATTATTTGATTGTTTGTTTGCATTGAATAAAGTCTTCGAAAAACCACCAATTTAAAAACTTTCTTTCACCTTTAGAATCCTACATTATAATCTGATTAACATAGGCGGTACGAAGTTCGCCAGGTCAGCTAGTTCACTTATTATGGCCGTCAATTATAACCTGGTCTCGATTTTGTAAGAATTTGCATGAGAACAGAGCTCTTTCAATAAAATTGCCCTAACTCCTATTGAAACAAGATCTCTGCCGACGATGTAATTGTAAAACTACATGGGTCAACTTACATTGGTTTTTGTGGAACTAAATATAACCCTATCCTATCGTTTTTGTCTAAAAGCATTGAAAAATCCATAAACTAGTGGCACACTCGTTTATTGGACTTAAAATTTTATGCCCGTTTGGTTTCCGAGCTATTTTGGTACACTTTGACCACAGTATAAATAAGTTACAGTAGACTAACTTTTTCGTAAGTGGAAAAAGTTTTATATGAGACTGAAACAGATAAAAGATTTTACTTGAAAATTGATAAAATTTATGGAACGGACCTGAAGTCGTAGGCAGGCTTCCTACTCGGTGTTACAACGATTTATTGAAGGTTGCGGGAAGCACCTAGATTTAACCAGTCGTTGTGGAAAGCCTTAGAGAAGGCCTTTGCCCAGCAGTGGAGGTCATTTGGCTGAAACGAACAAACGAACGATAATGATGACTTTCCATTATTTTCTTCTTCATTTTACACACTATTTGACAACTGACCAACAGTATTAGCGTATATTAAAATTGCTGTGGTATATGTGAAGAGTATGTATCATTCCTATATGAGATCGCGAAGAGTGATTAGGTTTCATGGTATCACATTAATTTCATGCCTAGATACGTAGCCATAAGCGCGATTAAAAATTACTTTTACATTCTAAAACAAAACTTGAAAAAGTTAACAATGGACTTAAACAAGGTATGTCTTGGAGTGGGCTTACTCTTATAAACTTATACTATAACACCATAGCAGGGTGCTTATTTGTAATAATTAGTGCGATGATCAAAAGGGTTTTATTGTACCGGATCTTCTATGATTTGTTTAGGATTTTATTTCTGAAATGATGCCCGAATGATTTCGGTTTGCGTCTTGGAACGGAATGGTTTATGGTGACTATTTTTGTTTCTGTTTTACGGATGGATTATAAAGTTTTATCTTTCTTTTGACATTTTAGTCGATTCAGGTAATTATTGTCCTTAATAAACCAAGGGAAGTGGGGAAATAAAATGGAGCAACTGACCTAGAGCACAGAATGCATGCATCCAAATTTTTTGCTTTGTTGCAAGTGTTTTTATTTAATTTATTTTATTTGCTTCCTAATTTTGCATTTGTTACCTGACCAGCGGCTCGCGACCTAATTAATCATTTGTTTTAGTAAACTGAGAATAGCGCTGTGGGCTACATTAGGTACTAATAATTTGTCATGTATTGTAGTTGTTTGCTCTTCCCTAATAAAATAAAATAAAATTTAAAAAAATTGTCTAAAATAGTCTAGAGCTCTAGACCTAGAAGTAAACAGCTTTATTCTGAAATCGCTTAGCTCCAGCGCTGCAGCGTCTTGGGTCCTCAATCACAGATTCATCATCATCATCTCAGCCATAGGACGTCCACTGCTGAACATAGGCCTCCCCCAATGCTTTCCATGCTGCCCGGTTGGTAGCGGCCTGCATCCAGCGCCTTCTCACAATCACAGATTCTTTCGTTCGTTCGTTTCAGCCGAAAGACGTCCACTGCTGGACAAAGGCCTCCCCCAAGGATTTCCACAAAGACCGGTCCTGCGCCGCTCGCATCCATGCACCTCCCGCGAATCACAGATTACTAATAACTTACTATGTAACCGCAACGTACTTGGGAAATATCAATCGATCGTTGATGAACGATAAATATGCCGAATGGAATTTACGACTTGAGATTGTCTTTTCACGATGTGTATTCAAACATCCTATGAAGTTACGTCGTTCTGTGAAGCAATTTCGAAAATATACCAAGGGAACTGGTCAAATGAAGCAGTGGACTTACCGGATCTTCGCTGCAGTCTTCTGTCTTAGGGTGTCGGCACTTCTTGATCTGAACTACACTCCACTACACTGCACTGCACTGCACTGAACCGCGATTGTGCTTGGAAATTAAATCGAAAATATTGTGGATATAGGTACATCAAGACTGACAAACGTAGGGTAATTGCGCCGGTTTTCCGTCCAGCTCCTGTTTTCGTCCATTTGACCGACTTGCCACAAACAAATACGGAAAATTAGAATGTTTCAAGTTTGGACTTGTTACAATCTATAATATCTATGTAACAGTTCTGCCTGCATGAAAATGTAATTTGACAAGTAATAACTCCAAAAAAATCTACGGAAGTTGCTGCTGCACACAGGCGAATGGAAAACGTCGTCAAGTTAGAAAAAAAACGTGCCGGTAGGGAACTTCCATGGTATGTTTAATTACTGTTTTAGCTACTTTACGTAATGTTTTTGGCACGTATGTCTAATTATTAGCATAATAAACACTATTTTAAGGGTTTATTAAAGTTTTTGTATAGAAATCTTAGATAATTAAGTGGACTAATACTAGCATAACAATTTTGCAAGATTTTGGTTTTCGTCCACGTGGACGGAAACCCTGACACCTAGTTAATATTTTCAAATATCATTTTACTTCAATGGACCTACAAAATACAATGGTTTTTCTTCCAATATGATCTTTATTGCTATTATATTAAACATTTTATATTACGTCCACTTTTTAACAGTGATAAACCCATAAAAACCGTTAAAAAGATGTGGACGAAAACAAAAAACAGCTTTAAACGTTGTTGTGTTTTCGTCCATGACGTCATGAGCAAGCACTGGGGTGGACGAAAACCAAAATTAGCTATTCCTGTAGATTAGTTTTCGTCCATTTGTGCTTCGACCTATTGCAATATTTTCCTAAATTCAGGTAAGACACTTATTTATATCTTTTTGATATCATTTGAAAGCTAACAAAATTACCTTTCAAATGATATACCACAATGCATAGTTACTGTATTGTAGAATTGGTTTTAACTCAATAATGCAACTGCACTTTTTTTTCTATACAGTGGTCGAAAACTAGCTTACACTAGGACGAAAACCAATTTTTTTGGACGAAAACTAGCGAAATCGCCTCTTTTGCATAAAATATTTTTTATAAAAAAAACT